ACGGGTAGGGTTGCCCGTTAAGCCCTGTGCTACGAATACGGTGAGGGCTATTGAAACCTAAAAAAAGGGAAAGGTCAGGGAATGCTCCCAACTCATCTACAACTTAAATTTATCAAATTCAACCCCCAATGTGCGTGGCAGCCACGTACGGCCCCGTGGAAATTTTTGGCGGGAAAATTGAATAACTCCGGAACCAGGGAAGCTGTGAGGCTGAAATTTTCAGGAAATGTTCTCAACACATCTACAACTTGAATTTATCATGAGCCAGAAAGTTATTGAGCTGAATCTTTAAGTTTATTGCGTTCCCATGTGCAATCAAACGATTTCCAGCTGAACTCCTGAGTGTTTTCGGACTTCATGTGCGAAGGCCTGTATTCTAGCGTGAAAACTGCGAACTTGGAAATAAGAAGAGCTAGGAAACTGGAAATTTAACTTAATTTTCTCTAATCACACCAAGAAATTCCAAATTCAGCTCCTCGATAAGCACTCCTCTCTCGCACGAACAAGTGAATTTATTGGCGTGTCTACGAGCAGAATCTATACAGATAGAATACTAAGATTTTACGAGGATGTTTCTTTTCCAAATGTGACTTTGGACATTCCATTTTAGCTTTCAAGCGTACCTTAAGGTTCAAGCCGGGCATACAGAACTGCAGATGGAAGATTTCTCAATTCGAGAGCCTGGCGAGTCGAAAAGCGTACGAAAATGTTTGCCTCCTATATGTAAGCTAAAATGAAAATTTATTTTTCAATTGTGCCAAGTTCTAACGTATTTGCACATGAAATTTTGAAGTCGTGCAATTTTTCAACTCCGCAAACAGGCAGTTTAAAAGCTCAGACTATTTGCATCGTAATTCTTGAATATGTTATTTTGTGACATACAAACCAGCTATCGCGGCCAGCTATGTCGCAAGTACGTGGGCTACTTATATACGAATACGTGAAATTTTACAATTACCTTACTGCGGCTAGGATCTTAGCAGCTTTTAATAAATAATTCTTCGCTAGGGCTCATTGCGAGTGAGTAAACTGACTGGATGAGCCAGGTTACTCCTAGTGCTTGAAACAGTAGCCTTCTCCAAGTAGCTACCTAGCATGAGGAACTCAATTTTTTTTCACAAACACTTGCCTCGTGGCAATTGTACTAGCCCCTTTAATGAGAGCAAGGTTTTTCATTGTCTATTGTCAATTATTAGAAGACCGTCTGTAGTCTAGGTCAAATTCAGTTTCTTTGTGCAAGCAACGATCTTATAGGAATGTCACACCCATCGTATATTATGAACTGCTCCACTTTCTTAAAAGAGCTGCAGCAGCCTCTTTCACTTAGTTACTCAGATGACCAAAAAGGTTC